TTGCTATAGTACTAAATTATATCAAATGCAAGTGGAATTCACATACAGGTTACTTACAGAAAGTTCTTAAGTGCCGTCAAACATTTTGTAGCAATCAGGCACAAAGTCAGCCCAACGTTTACTAATAGATTTAATAAGGTGTAATTGTTGTATACTGACAACTGCATGCAAAGTATATAATAAGAAATGATAAATTCCCCCGTCCCCCCAAAAATCCTATGATTTTTACTGTGTTAAATATTCTAATGCAGTGATCCTTGTTATAAATGTTTGTTTACATCTGTTTCAGTGTGTCCTGGTTTCAGCTGGGATGTAGTTAACTGTCTTCCTAGTAGCTGGTACAGTGCGGTGTTTTGAGTTCAGTATGGGAAGAATGTTGATAACACTGATGTTTTCAGTTGTTGCTCAGTAGTGTTTAGACTACAGTCAAGGATTTTTCAGCTTCTCATGCCCAGCCAGGGCACCTGACCCAAACTGGCCAACAGTGTATTCCATACCATGGGACGTCCCATCTAGTTTAGGAACTGGGAAGGGGGGGGCAGGGATTCGCCGCTCGGGGACTGGCTGGGTGTCGGTCGGCGGGGGGGGAGTAATTGCCCTGCGCATCATTTGTACATTCCAATCCTTTTATTACTACTGTTGTCATTTTATTAGTGTTATTATCATTATTAGTTTCTTCTTTTCTGTTCTACTAAACCGTTCTTATCTCAACCCAGGAGTTTTACTTCTTTTCCTGATTTTCTCCCCCATCCCACTGGATGGGGGGGCAGTGAGTGAGCGGCTGCGTGGTGCTTAGTTGCCGGCTGGGGTTAAACCACGACACAGTGCTTTGAGAAAATCTGTGTAGCTGGAAGCAAGAATAATACTAAGTAAATGATATGTTTCACTGAAATTTTCTATTACTGCTATCTAGCCAAGAAATAATAGAAAACCAACATACCGCACTACAATAATCGCTATTTGCAATCCTAATTCAATGGTAAGTTAAAGTGATTGCTTTAGGATAGTATGTTCTGAATACTTGGTTTCTAATTAAAATAGAGTGTACCAACACAGTAACTGTGAATTACTATCCTGAATTTATGAAAGCTTAAAAAGGTGACTGATAAAACCAAGAACAACACGAAAATTTAATCTGAACCTAATCTAGCATTTTACAATGCTTAAAAGGTATCTTAAAACAGACATTTGTTCCTGGAGTTTGGCCTACCTATACACAACCGATAGAGGCAATTTTTTAAATGGTTGGTAAAATCTACCTTTTATCTATTACTGAGCTTTTTCTCAGATGTAATAATTGCACCAACTAACTTCCTGATGAAGAGTTTTCATCTTTGTAACAAAAGAGTAAGGTAAGCATACAATGGATATTTTGAAAAGGTCACTGAACTTGTTGCAGTTAAGATTTGACATGCCTGAACTTCAACAATCATACATCAATCTCTGATGTGACCAAAATTTCTTAAGTAAAACCAACCTATCTTCTTTTTGAAATTGCTAGATACCATGTGAAGCAAAACGAAGATACATCAAGTACATATAGAAAATTTTTAAGCACATCTCTCTACTACATAGTTGTCAGTTTCCACATAGCAGCTATGGAGAAGGATGTGCTCTATATATGTAAGTGATAATGCCCTAGTAGTACACTATGAAATTAAAATTTAAGGTTACATCACACTATTTATTGCTTCATAATTTTTAAACAAAGATATACATATAAAGGGAGGTCAGACTATTAAAGTGAACCGCTTTCAGTCCTCTTTGAAGGTTGCCATGTTGTGCAATAGTCCCCCATTTCTGAAAAAAGCTAGTATTTCAGTAATTATTTTGTATATAAAAACCAACAACATATCGGACACCATACTTACAGAATAGCGTGCCAATGGATCCTGTATGTGTCCTTCCTGAAACTAACTGGCAAGCATACAAACCTCGAATGTAATTCAAGAGAGCATAACAAAAGGCAGTCTGTGAGACTAATGAAACATCAAAGTGGGTGTGGTTTTACTTAACTAGGCAAGCTTTAGAGTCTTCCTTTGAACTTCCTCATACAAGAACACAGATGAGTGACATGAAAGGGGAAACACCAAGGAGTAAGGTGAGGGACGAAACAAGGCATCCTTAAGTAACGGCAAAACCCCTGCATTGGCTATGAATAGGTAAGGAAGAAAAAAAGATGTGACGGCGCAGCTCTTGACCACTTAAAAATTTCAATGCTTTGTATATTAAGCAAAGTCCTTTTAAATGACTTTTTTCCTATATCCACTGTAATTGAGGATATTGAACATTTCTACCAAAGAAAACTGTGCAATAATAATTAATTTTCAACTACAGTGACTGCTCTTGAAGCTGCTACATCACAAGAACACATGTAAGAAGCCTGAAGCACACTTTTTCTATCATGGTATGGATTTAGAGGGAAAAGTTCATGTCTGCTGAATTCTTCTGAATAAAAGCATTTTTTAACAGCAGCATGAAATTAAAATTTTGTGAAAAATAACCAAATAGAAAAAAAAATATATGTATTACTGTATACATCATCTCATTTGTTTTTATCAGAACATAGACATCTGCATGAATTGATACCAGCTTGCATATGCAAAAGTAAAACAACTCAACTGGTTTTAAATCTTGGAAAGCATCTGAGGTTTGTGCTGGTTTCCTGCTGAATTGTAGCTCAAAATAGCTGCCAACTGCAAATTGCTTAAATTAGCAGAGACACAAGTTTGGAAATAACATGAGGAATAAAATCTCCAACGTGAAAGCAAAATGTTTGGTTGCAAATGGAAAAAGAATCACAGGAATAGAATTTGATAAGCTGGCACATCTGTATGAACCATATATACTTAAAACCCCACATACTATTAAAGAATAACTCAAACACCTTCAGGTGAATTTAAGTTGCCTAAACCATTTCAATTCACATACACAGTCTCTTCTTGAGCAAACAAATAAAAAGTTTAAATATAAATGCCCCCTAAATATTAGTTCTACATACATTTAATTCTGTGCATATCTTCATTAGCTGCAGGAAGAGGCTTCAGAATTTATTTAAAAAATAGAAAAATAAAATGTTTTAACCTTTTGGATTTTATTCCTGTTACTAGCCTAGCTATTGCATTAGAAAAAAAAAAACAAAAAACAAACCTAGAAGTTCAGAAATGGGAAAAGTACTAGAATTAGAAGAAACTATCCATAATTGTTTGTGTTGGGTTTTTTTTTGTTTGTTTTGAAGATAATCAATAGCATATTTACCCCACATACACCTAACTCCACAGAGAAAAGGAACAAAATGACAGATTTAAAATATACTCAGAAAACTGGGGTGGGGTTTTTTGGGTGTTTTGTTTTGTTTTTTTTTTTTAATGTGTGTGTCAAGAATTAAGTCAATTTTTCCTATGTAATAAAAACAATTTTTTCCCCAAAGAAGCAATTCACAATGTTTAAGATAAAAATTTTAATGAATTAGTACTAATTCCTGGTGTGATCTAGCACAAATTGATTCACTGTGTGTGTGATAAAATGCAATCTGTATAGAGGTATACAATGAAATTATCTAGATTAAAGACCCATAAATTGGAGTATTTGGAAACCAAAGCTTTTTATATCATTAATGAAGATTAACTCATTTCTATCATCACACTACCTTCACATGATTCCTACTTCAGAACTAAAGTACCAGATCAAATCTACGTGCTCTTTCCAAGCTGTTATGAAAAGAAGTGGAAACTGGGGCTTTCCAAAGAGGCGAAACAAGTAAAGAATCTTATCACTTTCTCACGCTATGATTCCAGCATTAGAATAATTTTCCTCCTCACTCTATCATTTTTAAAAAAAAAAAACAAAAAAACACAACAAAAACACCAAAACACAACCAAAACCAACACCAAAACCAAACAAACCCCACCAACCAACCAACAAAAAAAATCCCAAACCCAAAACAAAACAACCAACCAACCCTCCTTCCCCCGCCAAGCCACAAAAACCCTCACAAAACACACAAACAGCTTTTGAAGCACATCATCACAATAGATGTTCAAATGAAATTCCTGTATCTTACATTCAAAGACACAAAAACCCCACATGCTGTTTTCATTCCTGTGTAAGGGTTATCAACATGACAATGAACCAGAGTATTTCTTTCAAAGGTAATATAAAAGTCATAGCAATGGCCATGGATAATGTTAAGGAAATATACTTAAGTAATTTCCTTATCCTGCTGCTCTTTCTCAAAGAGGGTTTTATTCAAACTTCACCAGTAAATAGAATTACGGTTTGCTAAGAAAAGGTGTAATTAATGTCTTCAACTGTACTGCACCAACGTATCAAGATAATGGGTTTGGTTTTTTTAATGTTTTTTAGAGAAGTCTCATTAGGATTGCAATCTTACATTTATTAAAATGCACAGACTAAATAAAAGAAACACAGGAAATATGATTATACTTTGGGACTTTAACATTTCCATAAATACATGGGTATACAAAGCACTTCATACATAGTCATCGTCATCAGTTTCATAACATGAAAATATGCTTGGAGTAACACTACAGCAAAATGAGGTCATACACGGAACATGTATTTTCCATGCCCCTCCTTATGAGTGCTGGTTTTGGCAACATAGATAAAGTTTCCATATAATTTCACAGGGAATTTCCAAAAAAGCAGCTGATTCACCTTTCCTATTGGTTGCAACAAAAGGAAATACAAAACAGCTTAAAAAAAATAATTTTAAAAATCACCCACCCATACATGTAAACTTGAAGATTCCATTGCTAAAGTGAAAACTGTGAAAAAGTAAAACTTGGTTCACTAAGTCTAAGTGTGTAGGGCCAACACAAAAATGAATCGGTAATTTTCTGAACTTTAACTATTCAACTATGAGGAAAAACTGTTTCAAGTGCTAAAACTGGAGATTAAGAATTACATGTATGTTAAAAAATTAACAGGTATGTTAACTTTTGAGATGCATCCATTCAAATAAGTTTTGTAACATTTACCTGTATCCAAGCGCTTTACAGGGGACTCATCATCAACCTCAGAATCTCCACATGCACTCCTTGATCTTTTCCTTGGGTGCAGAAGTGTCTCCAACCTTGGAAGGACTACAGACAAAAAGGTTTTGGTCCCTAGCTGTGGAGAAGTTGGCTGGGTTTCAGTGTTCTTTGCAGACTTTTGGGGGCTTATACTTTTCGATTTGCAGAAGAGAATGGATGTACGTCTGTTTACATCAGTTGATGACTCAGCTACAGCAGAAACAGTCGACTCATTGAGATTACTGTCAAGTAAGTGTTCTGGAGTGTGTCCATTTATTTCTTTCTGAATGGAAGTGCTATATAATTCATTATCAAATTTTACTCTTTTGTAAAGCTTACTCTGCTCTGGATTGAGTTCTACTGGTTTGAGGGTTGGTGGTTCTGAATTAGTCTCCAAGTTTGAAGGAAGAGGTAATGCATCTGATGGTTCAAGTTTAGGGGGAGATTTATCTCCTGAAAAAATTATAAATAGAGTGTGATTTTTGAAAACCTGTAGTTATAAAGTCTATTATAAAACTCACTATAAATGTGCAGCCCACCAAATAAATTGTTGTTTGGAAACAAAGCATAACATTTTAAAAACAAACCTTGTCTAGCAACAATCTGTCCTAGTTAGTAGTTCCTAATTTTATACTGGGAATGTAATAGGGATAGAAAAGTAGGCGTTTATCGTTGGTGTTAACAATTTACACCTGGATGAATACTTTTTACTTCTCATGCAGTTATGTTAGTTTCATTAACTAATAACTAAGAAATCTATTTTTTTAAATAGAAAGTTGGGGTGGTGGATGATTATCTGTTAAATGCAATTACACTGCCATTCAAGTAAAATTTTTGAAAATATACATTTTTATCTATGTCACCTTATCAATATTCACCTTACCCACCTAGGACAAATTTTATCAGATAAGCATTAAAAAAAAGTATTTGTAACCTATCTACTAGAGTGAGCTAAAACGTGTTATAAAATTTATAGAAAGGCAAGATTTGCAAAGCTATTTGACAGTTGTAGATAGAAGTTTTATCTCAAAAAAAAAAAAAAAAAAAAGGGGTGGGTGGGTGGAAATACCTACCCCCACCCCCAAAGTCTTGCAGCTTCATTAGCCACTAGCTGGCAAATACACACTTGACAATGCAGACTTGATAGGAGAAATCAGAAAAACCACCCTCTACCATTTTTTCTTCCTTCCTTTTTTTTTTTTTTCCCCTCAACATGATCATGTCCCAGTCAATTCCAGTAATTCCATGCTGGGAAAAGACAACGAAGATATAACTGTGAGCGTATAAAACTAGTTTCAGTCTTTCATCCCAAGTGATGGGAAAGAAAAGAAACTTTCTACTGTTACAGCATTCCCAAATACAAGTAGAAGCACTTCCTAACCCATAATTATCAACTCAAAAAGATGTTAAAGCCTTCTTTCCAGCTTCCAAAAGAATCTTTTAAAATATAAACTAATAAGAAAGAAAGATGACATTTATTCTAGAGTAACTCTATGAGACTGATGTAGTATTTATGCTATCACATGAAATTTTAAAATTTAGGTAATTTCTCTACGTTACCTGAAAAAAGGGTGTAAAAACCCAAGGGTTTAAGCCCTGTATCTGTAGTGGATTAAATATTATCTCTACACTGGTTTGGCTCAGCAATGCTTACTTGGAAATCAATGTCTTCTAAGTGCAGAAAAATCTCTGCCCCATTGTTTAAGGTTTAATCAAACAATAGCATAGTTCATATTAAAAAGATATGGTTAAAATGAAGTGTGATGATGCCCACATCCTTTGAATGCATACAAGTATTAGAATTGGTAAACAGTATTTCAGGAAGACATTTAGAATGAAATTTACAGTCAGATAAGCACATTTGAAGTACCACCAATTAAAAAAGCCTGTAGTTTAGAATGTCCAAAGTGACTGTTCTTTGTGAACAAATCATTATTTTCTTACGTTTAATTAGAAAATATTCACAAAAAGATTTAAGCACAGAAAAACACTTGAGAACTATTTAGACACTAAAACCTAATTTCATGGGGTTATTCTGGTACCATATTTTTCACATGATCATAAACTGAAAACAGAATTGCAAGGGTGTAATTCATAGCTCTTCTAAAGTCAGCTCCTGTAGGTAATCCTGGGTACAGGATTCTACTACTTTCCTCATACTTCTCTGGCAGTTTGTTTTCTTTACTCCTCAAAGTACCTTCCATTTCACAATCGAAGTTTGAACTAATGACTATTACTCTTCACTAGATCAGAATTCTAACAATGCCAATTAACTCTGTATCATGCTCTTCATTATGCTTTTTTTAAAAAGCATACTGTAAGTGTAAGAAAACAACTACTGCTCACTTTTCGACTATTTTGCACAACAGCTGCAGTGAAAGGCTGTGTCATAAAAATGTTAGGCTACAAGTAAAAAAAGTTAGTGTATTCATTATCTGCCAGAAACTACATTCCTAAAGAACTATATTCAGCATCATCATCACTTGGAGATTTAAAAAAAAAAAAAAAAAAAAAAAATCATTAAACATTTTAAGAATACTTAATGGCCTCAAAACAAGATAAGCTTGCCGATTCATGTACACTTTTGCTACTACTGTCGTTCAAATCTTTAGCAAGTTATGTTTGAAAAGCATTCTCGTAGTCACAACTAAGAATTAAACACCAAGTTGCTCTTTGAATGGCAGTTAAAGAAAGTCATTTTACTGACTTCACCTTTCAAAAATTTTGATAGCATCAAGCTGCACCAGACACAGACTGTTTTATTTATTACTACGCTTCCACTTTCCCTTGAGCTCTTTCCTCCTCCCATTCAATGCACTTACTCAAAATGAAACACGTCTCTAACTCTCCTAAAGAAAAATAGGTTAGCTTTTTAGAGAAGAGCTGATTGTGAAACAAACTCAATAGAACCTTTTTTTTTTTGAGACTAGAGTTTCTTTGCATCATTTAAAAATGAGCAATAAAGACATCAGTAACTGATTTAAAAGCTAAAAATGCAAATACAATATTCAACCGAAATATAAAGTTAGGTCTTTCTAGTATATTGCTCTCATTGAAATAAATGGGAATTAGACAAGAGTAGATGCAGTTCTAAGACCAATGTTTTGAGGAGGAAGAGAAGCGCAAGGAGAAGGGCTGGTTAGATACAGCTGACTTAATTCTACAACATTAAGTTTGTTAAGTCCTATCAATAGTTAGCTTTATTTAAAAAAATAAATAAATAAAACCCCAAAGCCAAACCTACCCTCCACCCTCGCCAGTCTGGAGCAGAGAACAAAAAAGCTACAAAAGGCAGTACAACAGCCAGGATTTTCAGCACCACTGACCTAGGCTTACATGATCCTTAGTACGTATTTTGGCATTTAAGTGGATTTCTGAAAGCACAAAGATATTCTCCACTCAGGCATTTCCGATTCCTTTTTGTATGAGACTGTTTTTACTTTCATTTCTTAACGCCCAAATTTTTAAAAAGCCTTGCTACTGTGGAAAATAATGGAGGGAGGTTTTGTTTAAAAAAGATAATTCTCCTATTCTTAAAATATTTGTTGTGATTAAGTGGCTATTTGTCCATTTAAAAACTAAATATAATATTCATTTATTACACTCTTTAATTCACATGATTAAAGCACCTGACTGAAGAGGTTCAGAACAGTACTGATTTAAACATGGTTTAAAAATCTTACCTTCTTCTTCTCCGTCTTGTTCTAATGCTGCACTTTCTTCTTCAAAACTTCCAATACCTGATTCTATTTGAGGAGCTTGGTTGTGTTGCTGACTTAGCTTGTTGCGAATAATGCTGATTTCTTTCTTTAACAGCTTTGCTCTTTTGCTCCTCGACCCACTGGATTTCATTGCACAGGTGAGATCAAGTTTTTCTAGTAACTCTCTCAGCTGTTCTTCCAAGGACATATGCGCTCTGTTTGCAGGATTCAGTAACCTATCCACTGAAGTCAAAATACACATAATTGAAAATGTGCGTTTCCCAGAATATTTCCCAGAATAATAATACCCACAGGAGGAAAAAAAAAAAAATTCACTTGCCAAAATTAAAAAATGTCATCAAAAAGCTACTTAGATTACAGTCTTAGTAGCTTCACCAGTGAAGAAATGTTGAAACAAATTCCTACTGTATAATTACTATTCTTCTTGATAAGCATTTTGCTCAAGAAAACTAAGTAGTAGAGCAAAGAATTAAAAGGTCAGAAGGAAGACGTAATTAATCCTTCCCACCCTAACAGATGATATCCTTCTTGTCAAAGGGCAAGATTATGGTTATAAAAGAAATGTGTTAATTATCCTCCTTTACTGCCAAAACCTCAGAAAACTGATGTGTATGTCAAAAGAAGTCATTTTACTTCCTAGTATTACAAACGTGCTTGATTTTTTAATTCATTAGGTTATTTGAGAATATGCTTAAGTTTATATGCACAGGTAGTCATTTTCCATGACTTACAAGCATATATAATCATGTGAAAGGAGGCGCTCAATTTAAAAACCTTTTTCATGTATCTTGTTAAATTAGGCTCTGGCACTGACCAAATCAGAATCTGGATAACACTGTTTTCTAATGACAGATCTAGTAGAATACAAACATTTGAATCTTTCAAGCGGTGTTTTTCACGGGAGCGGGAAATGTAGTCAGCAAACAGAACAGCAACAATCTTAAACATCTGTATGGAATGTACACACTGTGTGTAATGAAAAAATGCAACTTTTAAAAATAATCCAAAAACATCTTACCATCTTCCCAAGAGAAAGGCTGAGGTGACTCAAGTTTAGGCCGTTCAGGTAAGTGCATTCCAGTTTCATTATTATAACCGATTCCTTCAGCATCTCGCCTAGCTTGCCTGAGAACTACACCTCCTTGATCTCTTAACCGCACTGCAGCTCTATAGAATATTGTATCTTTTGCATTGTATTTCATACAGTTATCTATGATAAGATTGAAGTCTTCTTCAAACTCACTGAGGTTTTTATAGCCTTGAGCATCTAACCGTTTTCGCATGGTAGAGAAATCCATAGGGTGTTTAATATGATCCAAATAGTCTGGAACCTTTGAATAAATATTTAAAACATGAAATGGGTAAAATTATCTTATTACAGACAAAGTAACATTAGCTATTAACTGATCCACATTTTTTAACATATTTTGTAACACCTCAAATCAGGAACTTCAAAATGTAGCTTAGAATTGCACATCTTCATATTGCAAACATTTGCACTCCAACAGAAGTTTACATATGACAAGATTCTGCATCTTAGGTAACAAGTTGGAGCTCTACTAACAGATGGTCAAACTATGTGTTTTTAGAATTCTGTGGTTTTATTTACATACCATACATGTTTATGCTTACGCATAAACACATTTATACCTATGTACACATATGTATGATATATACATGTGTATGTACTATAAGCACACATACATATACAATTTATATAGACATGTCTACATGTTATTTATGCATGTGTATGTGTTGTATATGTATGTATCTATGCACACACACATGCACACTCTATCTAGTTTCCCAGTGAATGAAAAGGAATTTCACCTGCAAGTAAGAACACAGTATCCACATTTGAATATTTAAGACGCCCTTTGGGTTTGCTTTATCAAATAATCTTATCGCAAAAGATCAATATGTACCATGTTATTCTGTACAAGTATTTCCCAGAAATTATTTTGGTATATGAGCATAAATAGACTTTCATGGGAGTAAGTCATAACTCATAACATAAATTATCAGGATAGAGATTAAAAGGTAACACTGCTCCCAACTCTGCATGCAACTATTTGTTTCTTGCACTTAAACATCACCAAGTCATAGCTAAACATAAGGAAATACAGCTTAAAACATACCTCTTTAAGGTTCACTGGCTGAGCAAATATACGAGCAGAATCCTTTTCCTGCAGCTGATCCAGAACTGATCGCAGAAGTACAGTGAATGGAGTAAGCTGAAGTTCCATAGCAACCTGCTCAATCTTGACCTAAAGAAGAAATAATTATTCAATTGAGCATTTTTCATTAAGAAACTGTTTTAAAGTTGTTTTGCAGCAATAGTACTTTAGATATGAAACACAATATAAACATGTTTACTTAAACAAGTGCAATGCTACCTTCAGTATCATCAGTTGGCATTTGTCTGACATACGTTTTAAGCTGATGACTCATTCTAATCCCTTCATTGTAGACTCAGCTTCAACTCCAGCTCCTCAGAACTCACATTTCTATTTTATCTATAACTTTGTTCCATTTTTTAACTGTCTTTTCTTTTAAAAGGTATTACATAGGAACAGCTTCATATTCTGCCAACAATGCAAATATAAGAACAAGAATTTAAAGGTAACATGTTTAAAATTAAATTTCAGTTGTAGTGCCATGTTCAAAGTGTAAAAAGAGAATTTGATGAACATTTACAGGCTATGTAAGACCAAAACAAAGAGTAATTTTAAAGACAATGTTCTACATAAATCCCAAGAAAATAATTTTAAAAACCAGAATCAGCAACACCTTCAAATACTTGATCATCCATCAGAATTTTCATTATTTTTTACAACATTACAACTCCTCTATAGTTTTATTTTCAGGCCATGTAAAGTTCTCATCATTGACACAATCTTGCTACGGTAAAAATAAATTCTTAATGACACATTAATGGGGTCTTTATATATATGCACAATATAAACGTGTAAACAAATTATACACACACACATAAAATACATGCGTATATATAGTAACACACAATACATGTGTATAGCAAGTGATATGTTAATGTACAGGAATGATGCATGGAATTCCAGAAAGCACTCAAGAATTACAAACTGTATTAGCTTGCAATGAATGTTCACAGCTTGCAAAAAGTAAAAATGGAATGGTGTTTTTATAAATTAGGACAATTACAACATTCATATGGGCAAACATTTTGCTTTCAGTTTTCATATAAAATGTTATCTTTCTGCATTATCGCTTCCTCAAATCTCTTCTCCCAGCAACGTTAACTCTAAAATGTTGTACAACTTACATGCAGGTGTTTTTTTTTTTTTCTTTTTTTAGTGACATTAAAGTGCTACTCAGTATAGGCACATGTATTGGGAAAACCTGAAAAGATCAAATTTTCTTCAGTTCTTCAGAAACCAATTGTCTTTGCAAGTCTAACGGAATGGCTTGTTAAATAGTTTCTATACACCAATGCACGCAGCATGGCCAACAAACAGGAGTTGGAGGCAACCATGCTGCTGGAAAGCTATGACCTAGCTGCCATTACTGAAACTTGGTGGGACGAATGACTGGAGTGTGGCTATCGATGGCTACAGGCTGTTCAGAAGGGACAGGTGAGGAAGGAGGGAGAGGAGGGATTCTCTGTGCATCAAGAAATAGATAGACTGTGAAGGTGTCTCTGAAGAATAGCCACGAGCAAGTTGAAAGCTTATGGGTAAGAATTAGAGAGACCGAGGCAACAAAGGGAACCTTGTGGTTGATGTTTACTACAGGCTGCCTGATCAAGGGGAGCCTATTGATCAAGCCTTCTTGCTTCAGCCACAGAAGGCATTGCGCTCACAGGCTCTCATCCTGCTGGGGGACTTCAGCCACCCTGGCACCTGCTGGAAAAGTAGCACAGCAAGCACGGAGACTCCTGGAGTGCACTGAGGATAACTTCTTAGGCCAGGTAATAGTCCTACCAGAGGGGATGCGATACTGGACCATTTGGTCACCAATACAAGTGAGCTAATCGAAGACATCAGGATTGGAGGCAGCCTGGGCTGCAGTGACCGTGCAGTGGTGGAATTCACAGCCCTGAGGGATGCAGGTCACGCAAAGAGTAAAGTCAAGACCCTGAATTTTAAGAAAGTAAAATTCCAGCTGTTCAAGGAGTTAGTGAACAGGACCCCCTGGGAAACTGCCCTCAGGGACAAGGGAGCAGAACAGAGCTGGCAGATCTTTAAGGACACTTTCCATAGAGCGCAAGAGCTCTCGATGTGTAAGAAAATCAGGTATAAGGAATCAGGAAAGCAAGGCAGGAGATGAGTCAAGACCTGCTGGACAAACTAAAGGGCAAGAAAGAAATGCACAGGCAGTGGAAGCAGGGACAGGCATCCTGGGAAGACTATAGGAACATTGCCTGGTTGTGTAGGGATGGGGCAAGGAAAGCCAAGGTGCAGATGGGGCTGAACTTGGCAAAGGATGCACAGAATAATAATAAGGGCTTTTACAGGTATGGCAGCCAGAAAAGCAATGTCAGAGAAAGCATACCGCCCCAATGAACCCAACTGGCAAACTGGTAACAACAGATGAGAAGGCTGAGGTGCTCAACTAATTTTTTGCCTCAGTCTTCACTGGCAACCTCTCTTCCCACACCTCTCAAGTGGATGGACCTCAAGGCAGGGACTGGGGGAGCAAAGTCCCTCTCACTTTAAGAGAAGATCAGGTTCCAGACCACTTGACAAACCTGAACATACATAAATCTATGGGACCTGACAAGATGCATCCCTGAGTCCTGAGGGAATTGGCTGATGTAGTTGCCAAGCCACTCTCCATGATACTTGACAAGTCATGGCAGTCAGGTGAAGTCCCTGATGACTGTAAAAAAGGAAACACTGCCAATGAAAACAAGGCCAACGGTGTCCTGGGTTGCATCAAAAGAAGTGTGACCAGCAGGTCGAGGGAGGGGATTCTGCCCCTCTA